TACCGACTCCAGACATCCAACATTTTGACTTCGTCAATCAAACTCACATAGGGCTGAGTTCGYTCTGACTGAGAGCAACTGATTAAAAAATTCTTGCAACTCAACAGCCAACGCAACTTACATGTTGCGGTAAACATGGCTACGAAGTGTTAATAGTTCTTCATGCAATCCTGAAGATCAAGTATTATTGCAACTTTCATAAACATACGAACTCTGTGTCTCCAAGTTACATGCTGAAATTTGGGTACCAACTGATTAGGTTTGATTGATGGTAGGGAAAAACCAAATTTCAGTATGCAGCTCAYAGACACAGATTATCACATTGATTATGGAAATTGCAAACTGAAACAATTTTATTGAAAGACATTTTCTCAAACATTTTAACGTTTTGATTGTACGGCTGTATGATTGGAGTCAAAATACCTCAGTGCCCATTTAAAGACGTCATGGGAACGGTTGTCTCTGATTCTATTTTATTATGGCTCATGCAGATTGGAATGAGCTCGGCCCATTGTAAGTTTGATTGACGGAAGCCAAAATGCCARATGTCTTGAGTCTGGTAGGTCACAGAATAATGAAAAGCACTGTAAGACAGGTCTGTCAAAAGCAATTGTTACTTTTGYCATATGTCTATATTCTAATCTATTATCTCTTACCTTTCAGGCTATTCTTATTGTAGTTACAGTAGCATTCATACAGGTATGTGTAGAGACAGTTCCATCACTTTGTAATGATTCCTGTTTAGTAAGGAGTTAGAGCTTTCGAGGTCATTTACCAGCCAGGAGGTCAGGGAACACTGTGCCCAAGGTTTTGAATGTATCTTCCATTTTCAAGATAGAAGGCACAGGTTTTCCCTTTCTGGACTGACCTTAGGATGGAAAATAACTTATTAAGCAAGTTAATAGTTATGTTTGTACTTTTGCACTTATCTCTTATTTATGATGAAAATGTTCATTTTTGTACAATTTGGTTGGATTTCAAAGTCATAGTGACTAGGGATGTACGGTTTCATGAACTCAATGGCATCATAACTGTTTCAAATATATATGTTTGAGATACRTTTGAATTTTATCGATTGACATAAATTTATGTCCATCACAAAATGCTGCAACACAAGAAAAATTAATATTTGTCTCTGGACATAAATTTATGCCCATTAAGAAACGCTACGCCAGTCGCTCGACATGAATTTACGTCCATTGTGAAACACTAAATCATGAGAAATATTTGATGCTGAATTTAAATTCATGTCAAAATGAAAAAATGCAAATATCCTTTAAATGCCCCTTTCACATTTCCCTGTCCCATCAATGCATTTGCATCGAAGAAAGACGAACTGTGAGCTTGCAATTAATGATAGAGACGTGAATAATTGTCCAAGGTGTTAAAAAAGGTCTCTGTCATTGCAAGGTCACCCTTCGTCTCGGTTCGATGCAAAGGCACAACTACCTTTCAAGATGGCGCAGGGAACTGTGAAGGGGGCTATTAATTTGTTTTTTTTCCTGCATTCACTTTTCCACATGTTTTGTAAATTTTGTTGTTGTTTAACAATCTGTTATCTCAGATAACCAGACCATGGTTAAAGATATATGCCTGCTTGAGCAGGCAATCAGAACACATGATTCTTAGGATACCAGACTGGAAAAAAATTAAATCTCTGCAATGTTTTCTGATCTATTTCATTTTGAATTGTTGTCCCCCATTTATTTCATTTCTCCACCCAACAATTTCAGACAACCTATTCATTCCCTAAACATCACTGTTCAATAGACCTCTTCAGCTTGGGGTAATGTTTTCCCATTTCAGACCAYGTGTCATTCCCTTGAGAATAAGATTCTTTGTTTGAGCTGTAACCATATTCATGTGTCTTCTCAAGTGCAACCGAGCGCAAACCTTAAACAAAGAAAKGATACTCTAGGGAATGACACATGGTCTGAAATGGGAAAACATTACGCCAGAGCCAAAAAGGTCTATTTTGCAAAGCCCTWTCAAAATTTTCATACCCATGAGGTTTTCAGTCACATATTGCCCTACACCCACAACATTTTCTTTAATCCTTTCACCCTCCCCTGTCTGTTATCCTAAGGATATTAATTAGAGGAATGGAGGATATGAATAAGAAGTACAGTGTTCAGTAATGGTTCAATGGTTATGTYTTTTCCTGTTTTACAGGAATATAGATCTGACAAGTCAGTAGAAGCCATCACCAAGCTTGTACCACCTCAGTGCCACTGGTAGGTTTATTGTGTGCATATGTCAGGGTTTGAAATAAGGGCAGGACATCAGACAATGTCCRCCAGGAATTGGTACTYGTCCAGTCAAAATAATCTTTGCCTTGCTGGTCATTTTGTCCAGTAACAATGAGCCAGGCAGAAACGACAGGTACAACTAATTTGGTTGGTCATCATGACCTGCACCTTACCAGCCAGTATTTTAAGCCCTGTATGTAAAATTGATCCAAACTCTTATGTTTTGGGTTCCTTGTGCCTGTGTGTATATTCTGATGTGCATAGCATCATCACATAGAGTGCAAAATAGTGCTAGTTAAACAAAAGAAAACAATAGAATTAGCATAACTGATATATTACTGATATATTGTTTGCACTCTAAACAGTCCATACATTAATAAAAAGCAAGTGTAGCTCAATTGCTTATTGGGTGGGTTTTTTAAATAAACTTTATTGAAGTGTCAATGTATTTAGTTTATGCAACTAATTGTGGACACTGAAATGAAACTGAAATGAAGAAATAATCAAAGAAATATAAAGTGTTTTATATATATTCCAACTGACAAGGAGGCAAACCAGTTGGCTATTAACAAGCATGGTTGAGAAACTGAGTTTGAACTAATCAGAAACCAGGACAAATACAGTCTCAGCTAGTATTCATTTTTTGTTGTTGATTTTTGAGGAGGAAGGAAAACTGAGGAGAAAAACAACAAGCAATTATTCTACTCAGATACGACACGGAGCCCAGAAATAGAATTGAGGTCATATTTGTGAGAGGTGATGCATTAGCATTGCACCCCACCCATGCTCAGTGTAATATTATTCCGGATCAAGGATCCATGCCTTGCTGCTTGTCGTCATCATGTCATTTTATTATATTCCAGTATCCGTGGTTGTACCATGTTTGATTTCCTGGCCAGAAGTCTTGTGCCTGGTGATCTGGTCTGTATTTCTGTTGGTGACAGAGTACCAGCCGATATGAGACTTATTGAGGTTAGGTATTAATCGGTAATAATCATAATAAATAATAATAATAAATTCAATTCTTATATAGCGCATGAACCATAGGGAGATGCTCTCATGCGCTTTACAATGTAAAAACTAGATGTTGTTAACTTACAATGATCACATACACTTATTTCAATAAAGTTAGTCACACCTGAAAAGCTACAAAGATGAGACCGACAAGGATTATGGGTGGATACATTTCACATGTTTCAACTGCTTGATAACTGTTGATGGACTTGAGATCTTTTACCAGTTACAGTTTCAACTACTCTGAGTAATTCCTCAACTGCTGCAGTTTGTGTCAAAAGCTTTACTTGTTGGATATAGAATATTTCCCATGATTCTCAGCGATCACAGCTTTCTAGGTTTTTGATGACTAACTTTATTGAAATAAGTATATATAAATGGATGAATTAGAAATAACTACAGAAGACATTGCAATGAATTATTAATACTTATAAGAACTTAATTTGGAATAAAATAAATAATTAGTCCATTAGAGTTCATAGGCCTTTTGGAACAGGTGGGACTTTAGTAGTCTTTTAAAAGATTTTATACTACAAGCACAGTGGACTGCATTAGGCAATTGTTTCTAAAGCACTGGTGCTGCCGTAGTGAAGCAATGACTACCAATTGTACATAGAGTTTTTGTTCTAAGTGGTTGTAAACTTACCCCAACTTCTTGCACAAAGGTGCAGAGTACTAGTGGTTTGGTGTCCTTGAACATTTCTTTCTCTAGAGCCTTGCTGCACCTCTCTCCCCTCTCACGCAGATCAGCTCTAGAGCAAAAATTGTTCAAGGAAAAGAGTAGGGTTGATTAATGAACACAAACGAATGTCTCGTAGCTTGGGCCAGGCACTTTGGACTCAAAACAAAATATTTTTCAGCAACAAATGAAGAAATATGGTATTTCTTAAGGCCGGTTTAGACGGTACGATTTTTGCCTACAACTATCGTATACAACACGCTCACATAAACCCAGCTTTAAAATTTTTTCAATTATGAATCTTTCAAAGAATGAGTTCTATTTTCTTCATTTTCTTCAATTAAAAACTGTGTAGCAGTTATCCATCAACTGAAGCTAAAAACCTGAAACTAGGTTATATTGAGCTGCGAACAAAATGTTCTCTGATTGGCTAATTTGTTCAGGCTGAGAGAAGTGAAATCACCTGGGGTTGTCTGGAACAAAGAAACATGAAGGGTGCACTAATGA